TTTCTTAGGGTGCATATTTTGTCCAATACCAATCAATTGATTGGTACATTTTCCATTAGCATATCTAACCGAAAATCAGCAATTTTTAATAGACTTAGGGCACCAAACGCAGTATGCTGAACATATTTCTTACTTGTGGTCAAAATGTTTCACCTGCCAACAACCTTAAGTAAAAAATATTACAGATTGGTTAGCCGCAACCATTTCACCAACTTGCAATTGTTTCAGGTCAAGGCCGAGTCAACCAGCTAGGCGGTGTCTTCATCAACGGTCGTCCCTTACCAAACCACATCCGGTTGAAAATCGTGGAAATGGCGGCCGCCGGAGTGAGACCTTGCGTGATATCCAGACAGCTCCGAGTGTCGCACGGTTGCGTGTCGAAAATTTTGAACCGCTATCAGGCGACTGGGAGCATCAGACCTGGTGTAATAGGAGGATCGAAGCCAAGAGTGGCGACAGCAGACATAGAGGAGAGGATAGAGGAACTGAAGAAGGAGCAACCCGGGATTTTCTCATGGGAGATACGAGAGAAACTGATCAAAGTGAGTGCTGAGGTTTGTTGATATTTTTATTCAATATTCTCTTTATATATCTCGTTGCTTTCCTGTTCAAAATTCAACTAAAGAATCTGATATCTGAAACCTGAAATGAATTTAAATCAGTGAAATGATGACTTGGCCCTAAAAATTTTGCCCCTAATTTTTACGGTTCTAGGAAAATTGGTATTTTGAAAGCCTGTTTTAAACCGCCAATGTTTTCTATACATTAAAGGTACTCACATCAATAGCTCTAACGCGGACCATTTTCAAAATAAATGGCGTTTTATGATGGAATATATGAAAGAAAGTGACACGATAAAAAAAATATTTCAAAACTAAGCAAATAAACAACAAAAATCGCAAGTTGTTGAAAATGGCCTCCTACTATGGTAATGCATGCTTCCAGCCAAGACAAGAGAACCTCACGCAATCCTAAAATCTCCGCCACTATCATATACAAAATTTATGTTCTGTATGTCAGGTCAGATATCGTTAAATAATTGAAATTTTGTTGACACTATATCTTGTGATAAAAAAATAAACATATTTGTAGAATCACAATTATGCATATAATATCGACATGTAAGTCGATCGATAGTAAAAAAATCAAGAATAAGATGCAACAGTCAAACTAGAGACTATCTGTTTGGATAGCCAAATGTGCATTCGACCTTACTTTGCAAACTATAGTCCTTAAATTTTAAGGATCTGGATTTTATGTTATATTACAAAGTCTAATACTCATATCTAACGATAAACAAAAAATTAATGTCATGACATGTCTAAATATAATTAACACAAAAACACGTAAGTACCTGATATACTAAAATTGTTAATAATGCAATTATACAAAGAAATATCCTGTATTCTTGCTGTTCTACTATCACCCCTGACAAAGATTAATAATATAAAAAATAGCTACTACAAAGAGATCTTTTTATTTCCACATTTTACTTGGGATTGTTTCATTAGGTAGCGTTCGTATATAATTATTATAATATTAATGGAAAAAATATATATGTCGGAGTCGTAGGGCTAACTTGTTCGTTAATATCACTACTCGTGTCACTCATCTTCACAAAATAATAAGTAATACCGTAAATGAAAATGATTTAAAATAAAACGTTACAAATAAAGTACTCGAGGTGTTTTATGACAACAACCAGAGGCCCGATAATGAATCCACGGTCAACAGAATAGCAGTGTACTCACGTCTTCAATGCTCAAGTAGAACTGTACTTCTCTTCACTCGTCAGGTCAAAATTATTCTTAAATGAACCAATCAAATTCGTTATATTCTAGGGATTCCCTTATAAAGTAATTTTAAGGTAAATGCTATCCATCCTTTGACCGCGGCTACGTTGAGTGACCCGTAAGTCCCTCCAAACCCAAACTGGCCATCATAAAACTTGGGAATAACATAACCGGCTTAATTCACAAATAACTATTTCTAAGTTTTATTGTCTAGGTACAAAATGTATAAAAAGGTATTCCTTGAGTAAAGAATTCTGGAATTTCCAAAGTCTGAAGGACTCGGCCTGCGAGAAAGACATCTCCGACATATAAATATATCTAATTTTTAGAGAAAAAATGAAATTTTGAAACGATTGTCAAAAGTTTTTGATATAAGCAGATAGTAATTACTTTTTCTATCTAAAATAATATTTGACATTTTTTTTATTAATTATATACACTGTGTCCCCAAAATTCATATTTTTTTCAGTTGAAATTTAAAAAAGCGCAGGAACAGGTCAAATATTTTAACCTTTAAAACACATCTAATTATTCCTGTAACAGAAGTTTATTCCAAATAAAGGCACCCCGCATGACCCAACGTCGGTAGCATCACCTCGAGAGCCAGTTCTTCGCCTGATCTGGTCCACTGCACCGATTGACATCCGCCGAGGAAACCGGCGACTCCACTGGGCCGCTGTCCCTAATGGACACGCCGCCGCATAGCTCACGACCGTTCGGTTTGCGTGCAAAAACGTCCCGACGTGATGTCTATAATNATTTCTTAACTTGATTGAAGAAATCCAACTATTTCTGGCGGAAAAGAAAAACGACGTCCCCGAACTCGACAACCCTGATTGGCTGTGTGACTTAGCGTTTCTTGTAGACATCACAAATCACTTGAATGTCTTAAATACGCGACTCCAAGGCAAAGATCAATTGATTTCGCAGCTATACTCTCATGTTTCGTCCTTTCAATGCAAATTGAGTCTTTTCAGGACACAAATCAATTCAGCCAATTACGGCCATTTTCCGAACTACAAAAAAATTATGGAGAAGTTCAATAAAACTGACGTCAATTTCGCTCATGTTGAAAAAATTGATATTTTGATACAAGCTTTTGAAAATCGTTTTGTAGACTTCAAAAAAGTTAAACCGCTATTGGACATTTTCAGCAATCCTTTCAACATTTCACCCGAAAATGCGCCGGAATTAATGCAGCTGGAATTAATAGACATGCAAAATGATGATAATTTAAGAAACAAATTTAATGAAGGTAATTTACTCAACTTCTACCGTTGCGTTGATAAAAACGCTTATAAAGAGTTGCGAATAAATGCATTGAAATGCGCAAGCTTATTTGGATCGACGTATATTTGTGAACAAACGTTTTCAGTGATGAAACTTAACAAAACGAAAAACCGAAACCGTCTGGCAAATGAAAATTTGGAAGCAATTATACGTGTGGCTACAAGTAATGTGGAGCCAAATATAAAAAAACTTGTTAGTTCAATGCAATGTCATGCATCAAAATAATAAAACATGAAATATTACATTGTAATGATTACATAATTATTACAACAAACATTTTTGAAGGTTATTTTATTTTTATCATTGTATTTCATACTATTTAAAAATAAAAAAATTTGTGTTAATAAATATTGTTTGTAGTAGCCCGTCCTTGGCTTATATTTTTCCCGAGTGGCCCCTGTTTCCTATAAGTCTGTGCATCCCTGCATTAAAGGTACTCGTCAGCAAAAGCTCTAATGCGGACCATTTTCAAAATAAATGGCGTTTGATGATGGAAAATATGAAAGAAAGTGGCAACATGATAAAAATAATATTTCGAAACTAAGCAAATAAACAACAAAAATCACAAGTTGTTGAAAATGGCCTCCTACTATGGTAATGCATGCTTCCAGCTACTGTAGTATGAATAAAAATTGAATTAGCGCCCAAAATTAGCTAATATAACAATACCTGTACAAAATTTATGTTCTGTATGTGAGGTTAGATATCGTTAACAAATTGAAATTTTTCGACACTCTATATCTTGAAAACTGTGCATTTGCGGTCCCATGCTTACTAAGACTTTTTTGCTTCTAGTATCATATCCTTACAACTGTTTAATTGAGCACTATTAATTATGATACTCCCTGTACAAAATCGGACAAAATTTACTGTAAAAATATATATATTTTAAACAACGCTTACCACGAATTATATTTTCTCATTTACTGACATTGATATACACATTTTGCACATCTAAGAAACACTTTTTATTAGAAAATGTTTTTGTTTGTTTTTTTGAAAGTTTAAATAAAATATAAACATAAAAGCATGCTTTATTCTATGGTCCGTATGTAAATCGTACATTCCAGGTTCGTACTTTGTTGTCACATGATGTGATAAAAAAAATAAACATATTTGTAGAATCACAATTATGCATATAATATCGACATGTAAGTCGATAGTAAAAAAATCAAGAATAAGATGCAACAGTCAA